TATCGTTTTTACATAACAGATAAATCCCTACTAACGTCTGATAGATCAAACGACAGAGCATGTTTTAATTAAATTTTACATTTATATTGCATGTTAAACATTTTAATATTTGACAACATCAGTATGGAAATGACGTTGTTTTTGTTTGTGTTTTTAAGCTATTGGTAGGATTAGAGAAGTAATTTGCGAGGGGGCCGAGACTACGCAACGAAATTAATGAAGATTTAAATCAAATATTGGAAGGCTTTATTATAAAGCCAAGTGTAATACTGCATTAATACTTTTAACTTTTGGGTGTTTGATTGTTTGTCTGATTAGTGTGCTAACTCTATATCAATTATTCAAAAAATTTAAATTGTTGTTATTCTCCTTATATGCAGTAAAACTCCTGCTAATGAGCGTTGTCAGTTTAGTTGCGCGGGATGAATAAATACGCAGCCACGTTCAATATAAATTTAGACGTTTAATCCTATGGGTAATTGTGGGAGAGAGTCATGTTCTGAAAGTAATAAGTACAACCTGAAAAAAGGCTAGCCGAATTCAAAAATAGTTCCATTTTATTTCTTAAACTTTTAATACAAATTATATCGGCATTCAACATTTCAATGACATAAAGAATATAAACATTTTTTTAATATTTGAATAAAAAATACAACGTAGACTTAAATGACGGAGAAAAGACGTAAGGTTTCATTAGACAGTTGGAAAAGATTTTGATTGTATATGATCCTGAAAAATTTGATACGACTTTTGTTATGATCTTGAAATATCCAGCAGTGCATATAAATATTTGTCATTGCAAAAAATATTGAATGTGTTCAAACATTCTATAGATATATGAAAATATATGGACTATGGGAATTAGTAATAAGACCACGCCGACTAACCAGTGGTACCCATAGCAATTACTGTCTGTCTGTCTGTCTGTTTACCTTTTCATGTCGTATTTTAATCAAGGTCTCCTAATGTGATATGTATCCATTTCTATTAACAGCATTATACCAATAGGAAGAAGATCCCTGTCGATTTTTAGAAATTGGGTAAAAAGTCATTAGTTCAGGTACAAAAAAACCTTAGAATTTTAGAGAAATGTTAGGATTTGAATAGAAAATGACAATAAGGTGATATGTACTATTCAAGATTGTTTATGGTGTTTTATAATTTGCGGCATAGGAAAATGTGGTAAAAACTGGAAGACTGGACATATAATGATACACTAAAGTCCGTCCATCGGTCCGTCCATCCGTCGTTTGTCCATTAACACTCGTACGCTAACTCAAATTGACTTAAATCCTCATATATATTTAACTCATTATTATCTTTGATGGAAGAAATCTCCTTTTTAATTTTTAATTTTTGCTTCACAGTAATGAACTTTAGCTTTTCTAAATTAGTGTACTCCAAACTTGACCTTATCGTGAGGATTGATGAAAGGAAGTTCATTTTTTAGTTGTTTTAATTTTCCGGTTTGTCATCCCAGAAATAAGGGATTTGAATTGTAATATTTTAGGAAATTTGTTATTCATTGTACCATAACTTCTCAAAGATATGTAATTTACTTATGATTGAACAACTTCGAAATATCCATTATTAGTTCACCTAGCCGAAATGCAAAGTGAGATTTCATCATCAATTAGCGTCAAATATCAATCGTCGTCTTCATTAAATTTCACAAAAGTTTCACGTCTTAAACTACAGAATACAATTTAAGGATGTACTAAGGTGAGGTTTGGGAATTTGTATCAGATTTTCGGACTCCTTGTTTTTTTTCCTTTAATACAGGGTAAATATTTTGCCCCATAACACCCATTTTCCTTTTCATAGTAGACTTCAATAGCCCATAAAAGGTCACATACCAAAATTTAAGCAGATTCTAGATTTCCTTTCTTTCGATTTGAGACCTAAACAATACCAATGCAAATATAAGGTAAAAATCCAAGTCAGCCTTTTCCCGCCATTTTTAAAAATCCAAATATCCCGAAAAGGAGATCCATAACCTATCAATATTTTTAGCTTATTTTGTTCTAAAACTAATGTTCTTCCAACTAAAAGTTCCAATTTTAATTTCTTGATTTTTTTAATTTCACCTAAATACATCCTTATTCAAACCTGGCTACTATAAGTTATCTACGTTCATATCCGTTGATATGGATATTTTAACACCCTGAAGTATCCAAGTACACCCTGAGGCGCAGCCGAAGTTGTACATGGTACTGAAGGGTGTTAAAATATCCATATCTACGGATATGCACGTGGATAACGAATTTATCCCCAGTCTTAGTCTAAATCTGGCGAAATTTAGAGAAATTCGACCACAAAGTTTAAGTGAAAGCAAAGTTTTTTTCATTTTTTAAATATCTTTTATTGAAATTTGGAAATTTGACATATTTTTAACGGGGTGTAGGGTACTACCTTTGGTAGAACCCTGCAGGTAAACAAATATAAGACGTGTTTAAACTAGAGACAGAGAAACTGAAATGGGTCGAATTTGGCGCGCAATGTTGTGAGAGTTACATCATAAACGGTTTGACGTCAACGTTGGTCATTTGCAAAGCTAGGTCAGTAGTACCATTCATTGACAATGTGGGTGCATAGTGATGCATTTACTAAAATGAGTGCCAATTATCGATATAATAAGATAAAATCGTTAGTGGATTAAGTATATAATTATACAGACATCATGGAAAATCTACAGAATTCGATATTTCATAAGGAACAACCATGGAACTAAGGAAAACGCGCGTGAAATTCCCCGATGTAATGGTAGCAACGTCCGGGGATATGGGTTAGCAACACTCAGGGGCTATGGGTTTCGAACGACGTGCGTTAACCAATCAAACTCCTAGAAATATACTAAGCCGGGGATAAACTCACTATATGTATCTAGTTTTAAAATGTGCCCCTGCCAACAAAGATAGCCGACATTGCTTAGAAATTAACATAAGAGTTGAGAATGTTGAGATCAACTGCTGTCCTTTTCCGTCAAAATTATCAGACGACTAGGTTTTATCGCCCTTAAATATTAACTTGTATTATTGTTGTTTTTTTTTTTATTTTTGCCTATTATCTCAAAAACTCTAACTGATATAAATTGACTTTATTTGTAAAAAAAATAATCAGCAAAACGAGATCATAAAGAAGTCAGCTGACGCTTTATATAAATATTACCATTAATGATTATATTTTAACAAACTTTTGCCTAATATCTTATACAAATTTTCTCCTTAGAAACTACTAAGCCAGTTTTTAGCAAACTTTTCAGCAGTCATGATTGGGGTATACTGTGTAAAGAATGTGTCCGATGACCCCGCTTGCCAACCAAAATGGCCGACAAGGCTACAAATATAACATAGGGGGTAAACTGCAAGTTTTGTCTATAGTCTTGAAAACCGCTTTAAATACATATCAATAAATTTCTAATAGCAACGAACACAATCGATTCAATGAAAGATACAATTAGAAAAGTCCTGATTAAATTGAATTAGATACGCGGAGCTGAACTTTTAACATTCAAATTGAAAATATTTGCTAACACAGAGTTAGGTGAATTTGATTTGTTGGTAAGTAATTTTGATTAAAATTAATGTTTTAGTTTATTATATGACCTTTTGTCTGATTTGTAAACCGCTTTTTGTTTAAATGTTTGACTTTCTGAACTATGATCAAGTGGCAGGGGATGTGGATGACCCCTGATGACGTATTCATTCAATTCAAATTGACAAGTTTAACAAGAGAATTTGTGGTTTTTGGAAATACATCTCAATCATTTTCCATCTATTTAATAAGATAAAAAATAATAAAAACATATTTCCCGGCGGCTCACCCATAATTTATTGTGATTTACATTTTAACAAGACACAAGAAAATATATCGAATACTTGTTGGAATCTTAACCATTTGCAGTATACAGCTTCATCTTATATATCAATCCATTTATCTTCAATAAAGGCAATAGTAGTATACCGCTGTTCGAAACTCATCAATCGATAGAGATAAAAACAAATCCGGGTTACTAACTAAAACTGAGGGAAACGCATCAAATATAAGAGGAGAACAACGACACAACAAAAACACAACATTAAAAATGTAACACACACAACTGAACTGAATCCAGAAATTATAACACACACACAACTGAATCCAGAAATTATAATTTATAGTTGATATTTCGACCTTATTCAATATATTTGAACATTCTCTATTGTAAAGGATTGATATTACTCTCTGCGGCCTCATCTTTTATATTTTTTTAATTACTCTTTACATGAAAAACAAAAAATGTATGTTTAGGATGGGGATAAAGGTCTTTAAACATTCTCAAACAACAGGAGACTGTTTTGACAGCTGTGACCTGATACTACTAATCATTAAATTTACCACGACGGTAGGAACAAGAAAATATACGGCTCAACTGTTGGTTTTTGGAAAACCCAGTCCGAATTCACCCTGTATTTCATAAACATTCTCAAATAACAAGGGATCGTACTGTTGCCTATAATTGCTTATACATGTATGCACCTTATCTTTTTATTTCTATATGTCCAATAAAGAACTAATACATTGTTAAACCTAAAACACATAAGTCTACCGTAGACAAGTTCGTGTGCGAGAAACTTCGTTTGACAGACTTATTCAAATAGATATAAGGAGATGTGGTATGAATGCCAATGAGACAACTCTCCATCCAAGTCACAATTTGTAAAAGTAAACCATTATAGGTCAAAGAAAGGCCTTCAACACCGAGCCTTGACTCACCCCAAACAGCAAGCTATAAAGGGCCACACAAATGACTAGTGTAAAACCATTTAAACAGAAACACCGACGGTGTAATCTATGTAAAAAACGAGAAACGAGGAAAACTTATGAACCACACAAACAAACGACAACCACTGAACATCAGGTTCCTGACTTAGGACAGGTGCAAACACATGCAGTGGGTTTAAACGTTTTAATAGGCGCCAACCTTCACCCAATCTGAATCTATGAATGAGAATAAAACATTGCAAGTGATAATATTTATTAAATAATGTCTTTGCCGTTGTGATCAGTGGTTCTTGTCTTCAGTAATCCTGATCCCACAACCTACAAAATAAAAACAGTAGCTTCAGTTTTGTTCGATTGAATTGCGGATCAAAACGTCGTGTTGTTGTTCGAAATGATAGTTTACCAAACAATGTATATATTTAACAATGTAAAGTTGTTGTTTTTATCATTCCAGGTTTATTTTTTGCCCGTTGCATTTACCACGCTTAGGTTCTCGGTTAAAAATGAGAGCTTGATTTAGCAAACGTTTTAAATGGTTTGAAACCTCCGTAATTTTGGCTATCTATTCAAACATAATTACATTCTCGTAGGATTTTACCTTATAATACATTTAATAAAATGCCTTCATTACATTCATTTTACCCTACTAGTTTGTGAATGTTGTGATACAAGAATATATACTACTTTCAATACTGATAATTCAATTTGAAAAAAGTGCAAAAAAGGAATGACCACTAATAACTATCCTGTTAATTGAATTAACAATGGCACGTACTTTTTTATAAACTGTTTACATCATCCTTGAATTATTCTTGAAATTCTTGATGACTGTTTATTAATCGCCTTACTAACAGCCTGGCATATCTAAAAATAGATTTTAACTTTGTAGATGCATAACTACTACATGGTTCTATATATATATATATATTTTCATTTTAACTCACATAGATCTTGCTAACAAAAATTTCATAAGAGACACTTTTACCAAATGGACTTAGGCCATTTGTAATATCGTTGTATTCCTTTTGTAGCTATCAGTTTATTTAATGTACTTGGCATCAGGAAAGATGTTAGGATGTTGTACTTGCTGTTTTAAAAGTTTAGAATACACTCACATAGTCTATTATAATGTTGGCAGACGACTGAAATTGGCGTAACTTCATTTTACCCTCAATACCACGAATTGGTTGACTGATAATACGATGTATCTATGTATAAACTCACTAGCGATATGCGGTATTATATCTTTAGATAACAGAACTATAGCCGTCTGATCTTTTTTCGATTATGTCCTATTACCGATTATGACGGGTGTGGTTTGCACAGAGAGTGTTTTATATATAGCTGTGGACACTTATACTCTTTCCTTATGAAATTCTTGCAATTTGTCAGTTATTTGTTTGTTACCTTGATTTGTTTCAACGCAAATAAACTCATCATAGATACCAGGATTGAAATTTTGTATTTACGCCAGATGCGCGTTTCGTCTACAAATGATTTATAAGATTTGAACATCGGTAAACAAAACTCTTCAAAGATAACAGTCTTAAAATATTGTACGCCAGATGCGAGTTTCGTCAGTGACCTACAGTGAAGGTCAAATAAAAAGATTAAAAGGCACGAAGTTCTAGAGCGTTTCTGCAAGGTTTTGATACCACAGAGCTGAACTACTGGTGATGTAAGTTATGAGGGGAAATACAAGCGGTCGAAGTTGTTATCTTAGGATAATAGATAACTACGAACCTTTCCTTTTAGGTTCTTCTTTAACCATTTGTCAACATTTACAAATTTTCTTACTACCCATGCAAGCAGCTTGCCTCTTAGTTTGACTTTAGTGGAACCAATTGAATCAGAACAATTCTTTACCCTAAATGTGTTCTTGTCTACAAAAAGTCAAAATAAAATACGGTATTGTAGCTTATTTGATATTTTGTTTATCATATTGTAGCACAATTCAGTGAAATGAAAATGAAGATATTTTTGTTTTGTTATGGTCCTGCAAAAATTATGGATTAACAAATGTGTTTGCGACAAACAAGAATACATATTTAAAAATACCCTTACTTTAATAGTTGTATTTAAAAGCTGAATGAGTACTTCGACTGAACCGGATGAACAATATTCAAGAACCACGTGTCTTGTCGTGTCGAGGGAAATTTGAAACACACCATTAACTTCTGTTCGTTTTATTATTCATTGTGTTACCAAACACAGTAGGTCTACGGATTGTTTTTGTATGAGTGACTTCTTTTCATCATTATTATTTGTAATCCTTCATTAATCATTCAATTATTTTTCAACCATTGTATAGTTTGACTTACTTAAGGTTACCTGGAACTTCACGTTTGAAACAGATGCTCTTAGAGTACCACTTTCCCTATATGGTATTACCCATAAAACCTTTCTGAAAAAAATAAATTCCAATGATTAATATTTCCAATTTCCAATCAAAACATTAAATTATACTCTTTGTTCTTAGAAACATTTTCATCAATTATGATGTATTTATATTTATTTTGTGGGGCTAATCGGACTGAACTTATTGCACGTTTTCTCCTGAAATGTAACGAAATATCTTTTCTATTGACACGAGTGGAAACGACTTCAGTTTTATGTAACGATTGACACAATACGCTTTAAAGTTCGATTTGATTTGTGTATAAATATTTTGCTTGATGTCCGTTTATCTTGTATATATTTTTCTGAGGTAACTATAAACTGTAAATTATTTACCACTATGACCATTTTAACTGTAAGTTATTTCTGTCGAAAAAAACAATCAAAACAATTATTTAAACTTTAGAGTATTGTTAGCATTTTGTTAAGACTCTGTTGCTTTTGGTGCCTTAAAATGTTTTATGAATTTGACATTCCCAATCAATGTTTTCCAGGAGGTATTTACATGTACAACATTGTATTATTGATTTTCAGGTCTACAAATTGTTTTTAGTAAACATGTAAGACTTGTTTGGTGACAGTTTGTGTCTTCTATTATAATTTTCAAGGTAGACTATAAAATAATGATTTTACCAAATTATATTTATAGAATAACATTATGGTACAATTTTAACTGAAGTTCGCCTTATTGTCGATGCTTTATTGCAAAAACCTAGAAAAACACAATCTCTTAATAAAAAAAAAACCCAATATAATGGACCAATAGTTGAATTTTTATTGCGTTTACTTACTTTTTCACACGCCAGTCAGCTGTTAACCCGAGTCCAATGTTAGATGCTGTGATAATAATATTTTTCTTCCAACTACCCTTGATCGATATTCTTGGTATGTCAACATGAGTTATCTTTATACTGATTGATTAGACAATAAAGTATTGTTAGATTGGAATTGTGAATACTAGTTATCTCAATGTTAACAAATTTAATAAAACGTTTGGTAAACGCATACATTTTATAATTAATGTATTTAATTCAATATTAGTATGTAAGAAAAATTAGAGACGTGTAGTAATATTATAAAAAAAAAAATAACACTTTATAAATTGTAAGTGCCCGAAGCACATTTTTTTTTATTTACCATCCTCAGAAAAAAAACATTGAAAGACAAAGACGTATAAGATATATGATGTTATTTAATATATCAAAAAGACGAGTTAAGGTTCAAAAAGCACCAAAGCATTTTATTTGTAAATATGAAGAAGATAACAAAGATGTATGTCCACTTTGCTCTTTTTTTTTCTTTTTTTATTGTTGCTTGGTTACTTATTTTAATCAGAAAATAAATGTCAGTGATATATTACTTTTTAATATACGATCCTCCTTTCATATCTAAATCTTTTATTTTTAGGCGACTGGAAAGGTCTTTGCCTGAAATTGCTTTCCAAATTCTAGTGGCTGAAAATAACACATAGATATTTTTTATGCACACAAACCAAGGAATAATTAAATACCCATACCACCAAATCGATTCAAATTGAAAAATATTTTATTTCACGAAGATTTTTAACATTTATACATTGATTTGACTTGAAGTAGAATACAATATATAACATATAATTGATTGATTGTTGGTTGCTTAACGTCCACATTTATATATAACATATGCTTGGCACAGATAAATGTTGGTTTTATGAGTGGAACATGTGGTTTTCGTTGTCAACACTAAAAGCTGTTAGTCAATATAAAGTGCTTAAAATATCTAACACTTTGATAAAGTTAAAAGTATGAATAATAAAACAGAAATAATTTCATTTTTTAAATACGTTAATCAACAAAACACAATTGCATGTCTATATATATTTCTGTTTACATTGCAGTTTTTTGTAGCATTGTGTTAACCTTATCTGTTTTATTGCAATGTATGTACCTGTCGCATCGTGTTTATTGATATTTTTATTATTATAATGTATTTATTATAGCATGGTGTTAACTGACCTTTTTTGATTTGCTGCCATATGATTCTCCTAGGATATACATTTGGAATTATTACCAAAAACAAACATATCAGTGAAATTGTAATTTTACACTGCATGATTGCTTCGCCACCTTTTGAAAATGTAGCACAGTTCAAATGATTTTTTTTTATAATATATATTGGTAATGATTTTTATCGTGATGATAGGATCATATGGATTTCCAAATTAAAATTGACACAGCTGTTGTTGTTATGTACTTTGAAATTTGAAATTTATTGGAAAATGATTAAGTATCATTTGTACTGTGAATTAGTAGAATCAACACCTATAGGATTCCAAACATTTAATAAATAGGGAAGTTTTGCAAAGACGACTTTTGTAGTAATTTGTAGCAAATTGCCGAGTGTGAAAAATTTACATCTGAAAAATTTTTCCTTTAAATCATATTTTCAAGGTTATCACCTGCCCTGTAATCAGCACTATTGTGTTGACATGAATTATTATTGATATGGTCGTTATTTATTACTTTACAAAGTCATGAAAGTAATTGATCAGATTACAATAATTATTACTTTGCTTATATTATGTAAACTATTTACTACAATTAATGATTACAAATGTAATCGATCCTATAAGATTTAATTTCTTTAAAGTCATCATTATTACTGGGATCAACTAAATGTTATTTAGACGGAGCCATTCACTGCGATTTGTAAGAGTACGAGAACATGTCTGCTTTTTGTTACATATTTGTTTGTTTTTACAGTGATTGCGGTTATTACACAATGTTGACTGCTGTACCCCAATTTTTGATATTTTTACCTATTATGTGTGTTTGTTTTGTTCACACATCGTTGATGAATGGAATTTAATGCGGCTGTCATACAAGTGAGAGGTCTAGTTTGCTATGAAACCAGATTTAATTCACCATTTTCTACATAAGAAAATGCCTGTACCAAGTAAGGAATATGACAGTTGTTATCCATTTGTTTGATCGTTCTTGTCTTTCAGTTTTGCTTATATGCTTTGTCTGTATGCCTTTTTGTGTTGTTTTCTTACATATGACGTGGCTCTGTACTTATAAATCCCGTCATTGTGTAATGGTTAATGTTTGTTAATATATTTGTTTGTTTGTTTTTAGAGTGATTAAGAAAATAACACAATGTTGACTGCTGTACCCCTATTATTGACATTTTTATCTATTATGTCTGTTTGTTTTGTTCACACATCGTTGTCAATCCAATGGAATTGTTTGCGACTGTCATACAAGTAAAAGGTTTAGCTAGCTTTAAAACAAGGTTTAATCCACCATTTTCTACATAAGAAAATGCCTGTACCAAGTCAGGAATATTACTGTTGTTATTCAATCGTGTGATGTGTTTGAGCTTTTGATTTTGCCATTTGATTAGGGACTTTTCTTTTTGAATTTTCCTCAGAGTTCAGTATTTTTGTGATTTACTTTTTCCATACTAACATGAAACGACAAGCACTAGAAACACGAGCCAAATCTTTCGTTACTAATAATACTTGTATAATTTAGAGAGTTATACTTGCAGTGCGACAAATTACAATAATTGAAAACCATTATAAACCTTCCAGGTAATTATACAAAATCAAGTACAAGTGCTTCCGTACTATCAATAAAAACAGTTATGATTTAATGCACTACACTTACACGAACATGAACTATTAACACCTCAAAACTTTATACCGGTAACAGAAGTTAGCTCTCCTTGTGAGAGTAGCATACTTTCAAAAGTAACAAAGAAAGAATAAGTGCATTATACCTCAATGTTCCTTGAAACTGTTCATTTGCCTGATCATATCTATCTTTGGCTGTTTCAGATACTAATCTTTCGTGTGTCTTGAAATGACAATCATATATATCAACACCTGCTCTCAAACTGTAAACCATAGTTAGATTTTCTAGACAAAAGGTTTTAAGAGCGTCTAACAGCAACTCTCTTATCCCTGTATAACACAACGACGTACTTCCTGTTAATGGATAAATATAAACAAGAAGATGTGGTATGATTGCCAATGAGAAAACTCTCCACAAGCTACCAAATGACACAGAAATTAACAACTATAGTTCACCGTAAAGGCTTAATCAATGAGCAAAGCCCATACCGCACAGTCAGCTATAAAGGCCCCGAAATGACAATGTAAAACAATTCAAACGAGAAAACTAACGGCCTAATTTATGTACAAAAAATGAACGAAAAACAAATATGTAACACATAAACAAACGACAACCAATGTATTACAGGCACCTGACTTGGGACAGGCACATTCATACAGAATGTGGCGGGGTTAAACATGTTAGTGGGATCCCAACCCTCCCCCTAACCTAAGACAGTGGTGTAACAGTACAAATAAGTACGAACTATAAAAATCAGTTGAAAAAGGCTTAACTCATCAGATGAATACAAATACAAATACTACAAGTACAAGTGGACGTGGCCGGGTACTTGTACATCCAAACAACAAAAAGACACTAAGTACAAATCTGAGAGTACTCGCAGTTACTGACAGATAGTTCAAAGCCACTAACAACTAATAAAAAAAATCATGCAAATAAAAATGTTTGTTTTATTTCTGAAAATCACTACTATACATATAAAGTCTTTAAAAATTCATTACTGTGTTAGCTTGTGATAAACAAGTTTGTTACATAAGTACAGAGCAAGTAATTGAATTTGTCCTAAATGCATTACTTTAATACCTCTTCTGTGTTTGTCGGTATAATAATGTCCATAAATAAAGACATAAGTAGGATAAAACAGTATATCTGATCATTTCAAATTAATAAGTTTGGAAAAGTGTTAAATCCATGATAAGCTTTAGCAACACATACAAAAGTTTCGTCTGTGATAAAAATTGACATCGTAGTTCCATAAACAGATGTAAAAGAAAGAATTTAGTGGTGCTTTTAATCGACGTGTTAAAGTAACCATTTTGGAATACATTGTGCTGAATATTTTGAAAGAACTACTGATGACAACCTATTAACTTTGAAAATATCTGGAAAAAAAAAAATAGAAAAAAAATTAATAAATTTAAGAGTACATGTAGGTTCATGTAAATGATTGCTTTTAACATATAATTATCTTTATTCTTAAAAATCAGACCAGCCTTATCTGATTATTTTCTAAAAAGGACCATAGTCTTGTACATGTTTTAAAAATGTTTCATGCTTATGACACAGTAAGACAAAACAGACTTATCTTTATAGTTCTTAGTCTGTAAGCTAAAATATCACAAATAGAATCTTTGGGCCAAAAATGACACATACTTCTATTTATAACACTCGTATATATCAAATATCTTGACAAAGCTTATATTATTATTGAATATTTCAAAAAAGTAAAAAATTCGACTGCTGTCTTTGATAAATGAAATTTAGAATGGATACGGGAATGGCTGTTCCGAATGATGATTTTGCATATTGGATTGTCTCAGTTAAATCTGCATTTTACATAAGTTTTATTTGAGATTACCTCTGATTTTATTGGGATTAGTTTGTCCAATTTGTAGTTTTTATGTAACTTTATAGAAAGTTGTTTTTCCTTTCTTGATATGGCATTGCCAATTCGTTCTCGACTTACAAGTTTGAACACCCATTTAGTAACGTCGGTTTCTCTTAAACAGGCAGTAATGATTCTTTTCGAATCGATGAGTATTATGTTTAGCGACGTTGGGTTGTTGTCCAATTGACGTATACCTCGCATCTTATATAGTCATTTTGTATCATGCATATCACTACTAAAATCACTGACTATCTCGTCAAGAACCTCTTATTTTGAATTTCTTTTTGAAAGATTGCTGGTCTTTCAAACTTTATCACACACGTTTAATATATCACATCCTTTCTAAATTAAATTTACCTTAAAATTGACGGCACAAATAAACCTAAAACATGTTTATATATTATTTTATGTTGTATAAGATTTTTTTTCAAACAAACAAGTGGCTCCTAAGAATTGTTCACCTGAAAAATAGGTATGCTTTATATTTTATACCCATTTATTATAGTATTTTTTAAGATAAACTGGAAAACAGATAAATTATCGGTATTTAAAAGGAACAACGAATATAGGAGACATTCAAATGTGTTAGTAAATCGGCCCTTTGTATAATTTGTATTGCTTATCATGCTCGCTGTTTACACATTCTACGTTTGGATACAATAGGGAATTGAAAAGCTGTCAATTTGAAATCATTCCTTAAAATGTGTACGGAATCCATTACGAGTCGGATGACCGTTGGGATAACTGGTTCACAGATGATGACGGATATGTTCCAAGTGTCGTAACCGCAATTAAATCAAATCAAATCATATTAAACATGTCGATACATTGAAACAAACTAACACAAGCTCTAGAGAGCTTTTAAAATCGATATTATAATACATTATACACAAACAAAATGACATGCAAACAACACACATATTAAGACAAACATACATATAATAAGACATAAAGCAGCAAGCATTGAAGCACATTAGCAAAATAAATTAATACTGTTCATGCAGACAAATTATTAAATCTTAGCAAACTAATTAAGCAGAAAAGCAGCAGAAAAGCCAATTTACGCTCAAATCACAAAGCACTAATTGTATGCATTACTTTGGCATGAGCTGCCATTCCATGCCTGCATTAAATTGGAAAATTAAATTAAAGAATTTTCCTGTCTTATGTGGTTTTGCAGCTCGTTCCATAAATGTGCAGCACTATAGCAGAACGATTTTAGCCCATATCTTGCAGTGTTTACTCTCGGTATATTACCTGTGTCCTTGGATCTAAAATTATACCGTTGAGTTTTGATATTTACTAAGTCATGAAGTGAACTTGGACTTTTGCTTATGTACACTTTTAAAAGTTTCAGTTCTAATGGTTCGAAGTCTGCGAATTTTTAAAGATTGAAGTTTAGATATCAAAAGTAATTTTCATAGCTGCTTAAATTGTCCTCATATATGAAGCGGGGAGCTTTTTCCTGATTTTGGTTTAAATTGTTTGTGAATTGTTTTCACTACAGAAATGCAAAATTACCGGACAATAATTACAATTTGAAAGAATGAAGGAGTAGTAAGCTGTTAGAAGTCCCACTATGTTGAAATATTTGCCAATACGTTTAAGAATGTTAAGTTGTCTTGAAGGTT